GAATTAAGACTTGTGGTTGAAATCAACATGAAAAAGTAGAAAAAAAGCAGCTCTCTCACAGTCTCGCCCTCTCTCGGCCACTGCCGCCCATTCTGGTGATATTTCCCCTGATTCTGACGTTTTTTCTGTCCCCCATCCGCAAATTTACACAGCAAGGGTTCTGTAGGCACTTCAGGAAAACATATCACTCATTATTTATTTGTCATAACCATCTGGTCAATATGAAAACAACCCAAATGTAGTACCTGCAACTCCAGGAGGAGTCTTGATGTATTTGCCGTTAAAATGTTGAATGATGGCCTCACATTTTTCAGTCGATTCCATCCTGACAGAGTAATTGCAAATGCATTATTAATGGAATATTAATGATGATAATGTCAGGTTCTACGTATGAGAGCTGGTCAGGCGTACCTGGCGAAACCAACTCCGCGGCTGGTGCCGTTTGCGTCGCGTAAGATGCGTGTGGAGATGACCTGGCTGAAGGGCTTGAGCATGCTCTCTAGCTCCTGCTCATCCATAGACAGAGGCAGATTAGAGATGTACAGATTGGTGGGGTCCTGTTCTTGTTGCTGCATCAAGAAGAGAGAAACAAATGTGTTAAACATTGAATAGGAAATCATCTCTAGGAGATATTGTAAACTACAACTATTAAATTATTTTCAGTAATTTGAACTATATATATAAATATGTGTGTGTATAAACAAAGCAAAAAAACCCCCAAAACAACAGAAACTAATAAATGGAAAAAAAAGCACATTGAAATGAAAACTGAATATAGAGCCCAGCCTCATGAAAATGCGTATAAATAGTACGCCAAATAAAAACAAAAACTTGTGGTATTTATACGTAAAAATTTGAAAAACTTTTTTTAGCGGTTTTAACGTACATATGATACACATCTACCCCACAACCCTAATCCTACCCATTGCATAGCATATACACACCAAAGTCAATTTTTGTGTATTAATACCACAAGTTTTTGTTTTTATTTGGCGTACTATTTACAAGTTGGAAAGCCCGGTCTCATGAAAATGTGTTTAAATAGTACACCAAATAGATTCAAAACTGATTGAACATATGTATGAATATTATAATACTACTAATAATGTTAAAATACATGGACATGAGTCATGACTAGTGAAAGGAATATTTTGGGTTATTTTCAACTTAATTAATTTGTCCAAAAATAGCAATTCTGTCATAATTTCTGCGAATAGAGACTTAAATTTCAACCTGTTTTTCTTCACAAAGCCATTATATGGCTTATGATACATGTAATAATAAATATAACACATTCTTTTTTGTGATGGCTTTAGGGGACATTCACAAGGAAAACACACAGAAAAGTGGAATGTGTGTAAGATAACTTTTAACTTCTGTGCTGCATTTATACAATGCAGTGTCATTGCTGCAAAAGACACGAGTAAGCGGAATGCCCAAGCATGTCCGTCAAGCTCAAGTTTACACAGAAAACAATAGAAAGGCTGTTGAGTTGAATGAAAAAATTCACTTTGTGTGAAGTGAACAGTCCCTTATGGTGTTTTTTTTTGTAATTTTGGAGCTTGACTGCATCAGTCCTCATTCAC